AATTCACTACTTACCGAACTTACTTTTTTCTGGGGTACATAAAAGACAATGTTTCGAGAAATTATATTTTGAAAACTGTGGTTATCGACATTCATCAAAATGTCTTATTTCACGTTCCCCAGAAGAAAGAAGGTCACACAGTTTTGGAACGACATGAGAGTGAGTAAATGATGACAGTTTTAATTTTTGGGTTCCCTGTAATGAGACTGCACTTCAGTTTTCTCACTATAACCACCTCTGAAGTTATTAAAGTCACCTTGGTCCGTCAGCAGCCTAAGGGCATGGCCAGTCGATGCCTTAAAAACTGGCTCTGCGACGAAAAGCCCTGTCCACAGTGCCGCTCTACCTGTCCCCTTTGTCTATTGTCTGGTATAGGGGTAGTCAGCCAGTGGGTTGGACTACCTGGTGTGAGGCAAGAGGTGGGGGGCAGAGGATGGCAGAGAGGAGTTAGTCACCTATACCGCAGGCACCGCTGGTCAGTCTCAGTCATGAACATTGCCTTACACAGAAAGAAGTAAGACAGGTACCGTGAGGAGAAGCAAAACAGGGCAGAATGGTGAGGTGCTGGAAGCATTCAGAAGCCAGTCTGGAGGACCCACAGAACATGGTGAGAGTTCATTGCTGTTTTCCATTAGCAGTACGCATACTTTAGATTATAACACAAATATGTCAGTTTGTGTTTTGCTTAGCTGTGTTTTATTGCTTGCTTATGTGTACAAACCATAAATATTCTTTAATGTGAATGTGCTTTAAATGTAGCATGGAGGGAGATGATTGTGTGCTTGGATTTTCTAGCACTGTGGTCCTATGAGCTCCTCCAGGGTTCCTCACAAAGTTCTCTGGGGTTGTATTGCTGCCATGCTGCTCATTGTTATCATCGCTCTCGGTGTGACCGCACATCTAGGGCTACAGCACAAGGCACAAGTAAGAGTCCAGGCATTCCCTATTTGTCAGATTTCCCGATCACACAGGTGACTTGATCAGTCAGTCGGCTCTGATTGACAAGCACAACAGCGTAGTGACCTACTCTGTGACTTCCCATGCCAACCACACCTCCACAGTGATTTTTGACATGAGACACGTAAGGCCCGTTTCTTTCTCTACGGATTAGGCTTTTCCTCTAAAGCTCAGTGACATTTCCCTATATATCGCTCTTCCTCAGGGTCTGGTATGCTATAAACCTGACAACCAGGACAGTTGCTTTCTTCGCCGGATGGAAAGATTGGATTATGAGAATGTGCAGTCTCAACTAAACAAGTCGGAGCAACAGGTAAAAGATTTCTGCTTGTTGAGTCTCCTGTTTTTGTAATGGACCAGAAGATTGTGTGATTATGGCAAACTAATATTACAATATTACATTATATTAAATATATACACTGCACTCTGCAAAAAAATAAGGGTTCCAAAAGAGGGTTTTCGCTGCAGCTATGCCATGGAAGAACCAACTTGGGTTCTTCAAAGAACCTTTCAGTGGACAGTTCTTAAAAGAACCATTTATTTTCTTAGCGTGAAGAACATTTTAAGTATCTAAGCGCCTTTTCCATTATAAAGAACCTTTTGTCCAGTGGAAAAGGTTCCATGGATGTTCTTCATGGAACCATAGATGCCAATAAAGAACCTTTATTTTTGAGAGTGTACTATAAGTTTGGGTCAGTAAGATTTATTTATTTTTAAAGAAATTAATGTTTTATTCAGCATATATGCAATAAATCAATCAAAAATGACAGTATTTTATAATGTAACAAGATTTCTGTTTCAAATAAATGCTGTTTTTAAACTTCCTATTTATCAAAAAATAGGGGGAAAAACAGTATAATGGATTTCACAAAGATATTAAGCAATGCAACTTAAAAAACAATTTTTTGAAATATTGATAATAAGAAATGTTACCAAATCAACATATTAGAATGATTCCTGGAAGATCATGTGACACTGAAAAATTACAGAAATTAAATTGTCAAGTCTCCTATTTTTACCATATGAACGAGAATGTCAGTGTGAAATGCTTTGGTGTATTTAACCGGATCTTGTTCTTTCGGACGCAGCAGCTTTTTAAGAACTTGTACACCATATGTACCTAAACGTAAAGGTGGCTGGCAAATTGACTGACACTTGAACGTGGCACCACCCCAGTGCTCTTGGGTAGATTAGAGAGCTCTTTTGGCTGCTTTCTCCTCCGTGACTCCAGAAAGGGAGTAATGGACCGCTCCAGCTCAGGAGGGCTTTAGTGTAGCCGAGTCCGAATTCCACAGACCATCTGATCCACCTTGGCTGGATCGCATTACAGGATGGGACCACAGGGTGCACAATGGCCACTCTGTTGGCTTTTTCCTCTTATAAGTCACTACTGGAAAGACAGAGCTCCTTTCCGCAAACAGAGCAGAGACCTGTGTTGGACACCCTTTTCTCAGAACTTAACAAGGTGATTCATGCACTGGGTTATGATCTGTGCAGAACGGGATGGGTTGATGAACCGATAAGTATCGCTGACCACTTAAAACCTTGGTCTCAGTTGAGATTTTTGCATCATTGCGTTTGATTAAAGCCATTAGAAAACTTTTTGGAAACTCAATCCATGGTCAATAGCCTTTTGAACAAGATTTCCAATTTTTGCTGCACAATGAGCTATTGAGAAGCATAAACTGCCTGTCGCAGGCTCGCTCAAGCATTACTCCGCTTTAGCAAGTGTCTATCTGATCTCTCAGAGGAGTAAG